AGCCATTGAAGATGCATATAAGAGACCTGGGAATCGTTATCACAACGAGTTTCACGCAGCCGACGTAGCGCATTCGGTGCATTATTTCCTGTCACGTGTGGGACTCATGGTAAGTCACGTCACACTTTCTGTGTACTTTACTTGTCACGCTTCAGACCCGAGACGATACGAAAAATCTCCTGTCTCGTAATAGACTGATGATAAGTCAAGTAACGCCGTGCTCCTCCTCGTTGAAGGACGTGCATAGCAACTGATTGACCTGTCTTTTTTTTTCTTTTTTCTTTTTTTTCCCTTTTATTTCACTGAGCTAATAAAGGAATTGTGGGATATGATGGTTGGTGCGCTGGCAGTCTGGGTCGAGAGTGTGGTCCCGGTTTAGACCTAGCCGGGTCAAGATGTTGTGGTTTTGGGCAAAACACGTTACTTTCAAAGTGTCTTTCTCCCCCAGGAGTTTAAATTGGTACCGATGAATTGTCAGGGAAGTCTGAGAAAATGTTGGGGGAGTAACCTTGTGATAAACTGGCATCCCATCCGGGGGAAGTAGTAATACTCCTAGTCGCTTCGTGCGTTAGAAATCTGGATAAGCTCTAGCTGGATGGGCCTTTTGTCAGACTTTACTTACTTTATTGATAAAGGAATTCAGAACTTTTAAAATTTCATTGATTATTTTTCGCAGCACTGTATGAGTGACTTAGAAATATTTGGATTATTACTCTCTGCCATTATACACGACGTGGATCATACCGGAACTACGAACAACTTTCACGTTAACGCCAGGTATCTTCGTGTGGATCCGCTATTGCATTCATACTCGGTTCTTTTTCAGTTAAGCATTTAGCCTGTGAATAGGCAATGTTAATAGTACTTCGACCGCGGGAAAATACGAGGCCTTGAGGGACGCGTTCGATACGTCTGCAAGGGATCTATCGGGCTCTTATTTTTTGTGCTAGACCCCCGTCTTCGTCCAATTTTCCCGCGGGCGGAGAAACGCGCGTCTTGCAACGCTAATATTTGGGACGTGCTTGAAGGCTATAAGCCATTGTGTTTTGGTTTACATTTGGTAAATAACGTGATTTTCCAGATCTTTATCTTCCTCACTTAATTGCTTTTAAGATCCGACCTCGCATTGCTGTACAATGATCGCTGTGTGTTGGAAAATCACCATTTATGCTGTGCATTTACGCTTTTGAAATCGGTGAGTTTATCAATCACTTCTATTCCTTTCGATCAAGGAACCAATCATTGCTTAGTGCCCCGGGAGAGGGTGGGGGTGGGAAATCTTTAAAATCGGTGAGTTTATTATCATGATCAATGGACATGGTGTCTCAGGGGGGACGAGGGGGTGAGGGGGCGGGGGGGGGGGCGAAACCCGTCCTCGGCAATAATGACCGGTCCTTGAATACGCCGCCTATCTACTTTTGCGTCTTGTTCGTGCTCTTTTATGGCCGGTGTGCCTATGAACGACAACTCTTCTGGATACGACTGAAAATACACACACACAAAAAAACAACCTCCCCCCCTCAAAAAAAAGGAAAAAAATGATTGTTGCCTTAAGGCTTTACTTGTATTCAAACGGCATCGGTCATCAAGAATGCGCGGTGAGTGACACCTTCGTCAATTGTGGATGTACCCTTTCAACGAAAAATTATTTATAGCATACATGTTTAACCCTTTGTCTCCTGAGATTGACCAGCATCTGATTTCTCCTAATTCACGAGAATAAAGGAAATGATCACCAACTATAGAAGCTCTTGATTGTTAAATAAATTCTCCTTGTCAGCACCTCAAGAAATGTATGGAGAACAGTATGGAGAATATACATACTGATGTTAGGGTGTAAAGGTTAATGAATGGTTTGTTTTAATCCTTTCTTAGCGAGAACTAGACATCCTTGCGGGTTTGACATCAGAACAGTACAGGTTCGTACCTCGACTACTGCTTTGTTGATCTTTTTCGATCCGTAGTATTATTGACCAATGGTGATTACGCAGTGTAACTGTTCGTTGCTCAAAACCACTTGGGTATCGCAATCAATACCAAAACGGGAACCCACCATCTCACATTAGAGCAATTTTCTACGAAGTGTCGAAAGTATTTTGGATTACATTGACCTTGCTTTACTTTGCTCTGTGATTGGTGCAGAAACTCGGCTCGTGTCACTCCCTCAACCAATCAAATGGAAAACTAACAGCAATCACGACTTGGTCGCCTCGTTTTCCCGCGCTTTACGTGGTTTGCGTGTTCCTAGTTTGGATTCTCATTGGCTGACTGTATTTTCTTTTCTTCTGATTGCGACACTCATTCGGAAAGCGCTCAATAATACTTCGCTGGAAGGATACAAGGTTGATATGTCTCAAACTCCATACTTAACTTGACGAATACCATACATACCTATCCACCTCTGACTTCCAAGTTAACGCTATGAATGACTTTTTCAGTGACTTACGTACCCTAGTCGTGGATATGGTATTAGCGACCGACATGTCATCGCATTTCGAACAACTCAGAGCCATGAAAGCCACTCTTACAGTCCTTGGAAGGTAAGCCATCTCGTTGTCTTGTAAATTTTGGGGGTAATTCTAGAATCCTTCAGTCTGTGAAAGGAATTGGTCCACGTGAGGATTGATCTAACGCCTTCTTTCACGTGTAAACATGGTTGCCATAAATCTATATTTTGCCACTTAAATGTGTCAAAGCAGAATCTAGACCTTAACATTTTATTTCCTTTTTCATTCTCCAGTCAAGTAGAAAAGAGTCAGGCACTAGAGTTTATTCTTCATGTGGCTGACATTAGCAATCCGGCAAAGGACTGGGAACTACACCGACAATGGACTTCTCGTATCATGGAAGAATTCTTCTGTCAAGTGAGTGAAATGCTTTTAAACTCCAACCTGTTATAAATCGTAACTTGTTGTATTTTTTGCTTGTATTTCTCAAGCAAAACACGCAGAATAACTCCCATTTATTCATCCATTGCACACCTACGGTGTAATTCTCGCTATTAATGATGGGTTCTTTTTCTATACCATAGGGAGATCGCGAAATTGAGATGGGATTGCCAATTTCTCCTCTGTGCGATCGCTCCGTCACTTGTATTCCTGAGAGTCAACTAGGTACGCAACACGTGCAAAATATCAATCATTTGTCCCTTGCCATTAAACACGAGGAGACAACTTGATCTTCACACTGTGAGATAAACTGTAGCTTAAGTAGATTCGAAAAATAAGTGTTAAAAGTAGTAAGGCTTGGACTGTGGTTAAACACGATTTGGTCATATATCTTTTGCGAGAAGCTCTAAACCCGCTAACTCACATGAGCGATTAAGACAAATTTCTCCTTACAATATATAGTACACAGGTGATGGAAATAAAGGAAAATATCACCTAGGGGTTTATTAGTTGATCCAATACCAAATTCTCTGAACTAGCATCATAAAAATTGTATGGCAGACAGTAGGAAGAGCTACCAATGAGATCTTGGTTGCAAAGGAGTCAAAACACCTTAGAAATTAGAGAAAGGACCTTGATGAAACTTAGTTAACTGGAAATGACAGATCTCTTTGCATTTTAAACTTTACAAGATTAAGTTAGTTCCTCCTCATTCTGTTTCTTCAGGTTTTATTGAGTTTGTTGTCATGCCAGCATTTGACGTGTGTAGCGAGATGCTGGACTTGTTATTGGAAACAAAGACATCGCAGGCCGCGGCAGATCTTGGCATAGAAGGATTTGGAGGCAAGGAGAGGGCCTGGGTGGCACCTCTTGCTGATAATAGGCGGAGATGGAAGGAACAATGCCAGTCCACTGCAAGAGGTAAGCTAGAAGGGCGTGCACGAGTATTTAAGCAGCCTATTGTTTCCGACTGTTTTTTCCTTTTTTTTTTGGTTGCTGTTGTTTGTTTGTTTGTTTTTTTTTTTTTACGTATACCTGACACATTTTTTAAAATTTATCTATTTTAGAGGGAATGGGAGAAGCCCGCTCACCGTCAAATCTGAGCTTATTAAGTCGGTCTTCAGTTGGCGTCACCGAAGATGAGAACAAGAACAGACAGAGTCCAAGAAATAGCAAGCCTCTCCTAACTCCAATCATCTCCTAACACTACCCCTCAGAGGAAAGACTGAAGAATCGCCTCAGGCCTCGAGCTAGAGGCGTGAAAAGTCCTGCAGTCGGCGCATGCCTGAATATTGAGCCATTAATGGATAACCTTATTTTTATATCTCTTGTTTTGGTTTACCGAATCTGTAACCTATCATACAAATTTCAGGTTGTGCAATTTTTGCACATGTCGCTGTCTGTTTTCAGCAGAATTGCACTCTTATAAAGGCCTGTGAACAAGGTGCAATTCTCGGACTGTAGAGTCCTTGCGATTTTGCCGCCATATTTTGGCGAGACCACATGGTACTTATCCTCATTTTTCATGTTGAACACCAATGTAGCAGATGAAATTAGTTGAAAGGAGAAAAGTTGGGAGTGGGCAACGAAGTGTGGGGGTGGGGAGGGAAAGAGGGGAGAGAGAGGAAGGGTGGGGGGTGGGGGGTTCAGTGAGGAGGACAAAATGATGGCGCTCATGTAATTCGTTATGCAGCCCGTGTTCCTTCGGGCGCAATGGCTTACGGAATGTCTCATTGTGACTTGCATGTTGACCAAATTAACAAAATGTTTAGTACTTTTTTTTTCCCCTTGGAAAAGCATAAAGATATCTGTATTCTCGAATGGAGTTTACCATCTGACTGTGATATCCCAGACAATGGTGAATGCCCTGGTTATAACAAGCCAAAATTAATATTTTGTTGAACTAGATATTTATTCCCTCGGAATATTTATAAAGAAATACTCGTGTAATAAAGGACGTTTTTGAAACTCTTGAGTAACACCCGTGCTTACCAATCCGGGGTTTTTCCGGTACTAACCTCATACCCATTCCTACCGTGTAAATGTAAGTGAATTGTACAACCGCTTGGCCTCGAACGGTCTGAGTACGAGACTGACCCCGTACTCCCCCGTTCTCCCCCGTTCTCGTTGATTGTTCCTTTCATAATTTGACATTAAAAACGCGCAAATTCGAAAAACCGTTACGGTTGAATTGTGTCTTAGTCAACATTTATTTACCGACGTAGAGGTAGATAACTGTTTTAAATATATACCACACAGATATTTAAAAAAAAAAAAAAAGGGTTTATTTTTTCCAAAATTCCGTAGAATGGTCGTTTATTAATCTTTTGACGCGCGGTTTTGTCTCATTGGCTGCTCGGAAGAGAATACTACTTGCTATTTACCTCCGAACTAGCTCATCAGCGTGCGCAAAAAGCACTTTTCACTTGTGTGGTATATACTAATGCTAGTTATTCTATTGGCCAGTCCTTCTGACTAGGTGGATACGAGCCCGTTAATACACGAGGTTGATATGAGTCACATCACGTGATAAGCTCATAGAATTCATAACTGTGACCCTCTTCCCCTTTGAAAAATTCCTTGTAAAACCTTTAACCCATAGGACTGATTGGCGTCTACTTTCTCCTTACAGTATCATTACTGAATCCAGCATTTATTTCATGAGATTAAACCAGAGAAACTCTTGACAAGTTAAATTCTCCATGTCGGCTCCATATGAAATGTTTCAGCTAACAGGAAGTATTCAGAATTGAGCTAATATTCAATTAAGGCTATAAACCACCAAAAAAAAACCAAAAAACAGAACTGAGCCTGTTTTTCACAAAAATTCGGAAGAAAATACATAGTCAGAAAATTGGACCTAAGGTTCAACCCCTTACATTGTACAGATCCTTACCCAAAAATTTAGATAAACTGCACCACATTGGTGGCATTATCCTAGTTACAAACCCCTTACCAATAATTTAACATAGCTATAAATACAGAGAAAAAGACTTGATAGCATCAAATATTTCGTTATTAATTGCAATTAACGACCGCGCGTACATATTTTGCAGTGTGCATGTCATTTCCATAGCTTAATATCTGCGAAGCAAGTAAAAGTAGCGATGATTTTAGATGTAACATATTAGCGCAAATACTGCGTTCAGAAATTGCCTTTGAGTAAGCAATTAGTCTCCTGTACAGCGGTTCCTTAGGATGTCGCGCAACACTGAAAAGAAGCGTCTACTTTAGAGAGCGTTCCGTGACGTCAACATGAACGGCGGAAACTTTACCGAAATTGTTTTAAGGGTTCACGAGAAAATCCTAGTTTATGTTATTACAGTAAATTACCTATTTTCCCCCCTCCCCTTTATTTTGTTAACAAAGAGGAACATATGCATCGATACATTCCCCCTCCTCCCCCGCTAAAAAACGCCCCGAAAAACCCTGAGTGTATGCTACACATACACTATGAATACATTACTATTTATTATCATTAATAATAATTGATATTACTGTTAAAAAATGTGATGGCTAGATGGAAGGAAGGTGGTCCAACTTGCTCAGTTTCGTTTTGTCTTTGCCTTTGTCTGAAGAGGAAGCAAAACAGCATTTTGAATAAGTTGCCAGGTTCAATACAACCAAACACGTCAAGAAAAAGGGCAGGAAAAAGAGTGCTACGGAAACTAATTAAGAATTTGATTGTGTTCGAGAATTCCATCGCGTGAAAATTTGTGAGGGCTAAGCCCATTTTGAGGATCACGCATAGACAGTAATTCAATTGTTTATGTATAAATCTACGAGTCGATGAAATAATAGTAACGAAGATTGTTCAAGACGGAAAGGTTGTTCGGTTTGGTTAAGGTACAGGTTCTTACAAAACTGCTCACGGGAAAGGAAACAAAAAAATCATTACAGAAACAAATTTTAAGTTTTTCGTGACACTGCACCTCGCTCTCACAACAACAACAAAGGGACCTGGTACAGGTTGGCCAATGTCAGCGTTCCATCGGACGCCAACATTAGCATTAGCGTTGTATGAAATAGAAACATGTTGATAACTCACCTGTTCTGTCTGGCGCGGGCGAGTCAGTAGCGAGTTGGGGTAAGTGATGTGATGGCGGGTCATTATCCAGCTGAGGTTTATTTCGAGGCTGAAATATGATGAAAGTATGGAGCATGAGAATCCCACTAAGATTGCTTACAATGTATGTGGTATGCCTCTTGGAGTAATTTGTATCACCCGCATGAGCTATCATTTTGCAACTGTTTAGAACTGCAAGCTAGTCTTCCAGTGACCAGTGAACGCTAGCACTATAATAAGACACAATCGAGGTTACAAGGTGCGGTTTTCTTTTGGTCATGCGGAGCATTTCAACTATCTTTCAAATTCGATATACTTGAGAGCTTCTGTTTAAGAGAGAGAGAGCTTCATTCAAAAGATGGCCACTTGGCCTTAAATTGACGCCTACAAATGAGGAGGAGAACTTTACTCTCAGAGTACGCCAAGCTTTGGAGCAATTTTCATCTGAAAAAAATTCATCTGAGCGTCTAAAAGAAATCCGACGTTGGTTTGGCTTTACTCGACTTTGCTCTGACTGGTCCAGGTAAACTCGCGTCATCCTATCAACCAATCAGATGCAAAATTAAAAACAATCGCGACTCGGTCATTCGCGTTTTCCCGCGCTTCAAGTAGTTTGCTTGTTTTTACTTTGAGTTCTCATTGGTTAATGATGATGTAAACCATTGTTCTGATTGGTCGCTGGGATGACTTTGGCTTTGCTCTTTTTTTTTTTAGGCATTGAGTTGCTTCTTACCCGCGTTTTTCTCGTTTTGACCGGAGGAGGCGCCTTCATTGGTTCGTAATCGTTGAAATATTCGTGCTTCTGGAGTTCGTCGCAGGAATATCTGAGGCTCGGTTCCATTGCAAAACAACACTGCAATAAAAAGAAACTAGTACAAAACTTCTACTATAGACACAAATCGTCGTTAAATTGTAAAAAATAATCTTGGAATGAATGAGAAATGAGTCTTAATTGTAAAAGAAAGTCGACAGAGATATCGGCTGTGTTAGAATCGTAATTTTGTGCGCGCCTCCATGTTAGATCGTGTGACGTACTGCGATCACTACTACTACACGATCCCAAGCGACTTCTGTGACCAAAAGAGATATTGATTGATAATACACGTACAAAAATATAAAAACAAATCTCGATTGGTTTTCACCAGATTTGAGCAGTACTAGGACACTAAACGTTATTTAAAGAGGCAGCCGCATGACGAGTCCATAGAATTGCGTTCTAAAGCACAGTCACAATATTTCATTATGTTCATCCCTTACCTTCATAAAACTCAAAGCTTGAGGTTGTTTAAATTTAGACTCTAACGGATCCTGAAGAGGGAAAAGACAACAACAACCAAAAGGGGACGAGTTAAAACAATACGAAAAATAACTCTGGGAAAATGAAGCAAGCAGTTTCTTCAAACACGTACAGAAGAGTTGACCTCCTTGAATCTACGTAAACTAAGTCATTAAGGAATTGATCAAAACTTAGAAGTCTTAATTTTCCTAAAAAATGTCTGCATTTTTTTTTTTATAGGGGTAGAGAGAGAGTAAAGTCCTTGGCTTGTGTGACTACGTTCAAGTTTGAGTACTCCACCTACCGTTTCTTGAGGTTCTGGAATTGCTAATCCACGATAAAACTGATTTGCTTTGAAAATCTTCTTTTGATTCTCGGTTAGATCACCTGAAGGGGATACACATGAAACATGGGATTTTAAAAAAAAGGTACTCTCCCATAATACATGTCGGTATCTACCAAAGGGAAAATTGATAGACCAAATATACTGAATTATTTGTATAAGTAACAACATGAGTTCGAGTGCAATTTGGTGTTAATAAGCACAAGTAAAATTTTCAAACACAAGTTAGCACGAGCAGGGCTAAAACTATTTGTAGTCTTTGAAAAATTTATAACTGCTTATTACACCAAATTGCACATGAAATCATATTGTTACTTGTTAGTAATTTACATCAACAACACATCACAGACAGTCACAACGGATGAAAATTGGCAACATGTGCTATTTGAAATTTGTACTCATTTTACAACTTTGCACTCGTGTTACTTACTTGTATTCAGAAGAGCATAATTTTTCTATGTCTATTTTTACAAACAAAAGGTAAAGAACTGATAATAAATAACATTATTTGATAGCAAACATACCTAGTGTCTTTCTGATCAAGTACAACTGATCTAGATCAGATCTCCCAGGCCATAATGGCTGACCGGTAATGAGCTCTGCAAACACACATCCAATAGCCCACACATCCACTGGAAAGCTGTAATAAACATCACCAACCAGAAGCTCTGGAGCACGGTACCAACGTGTAGCAACATAGTCTGTATATTCATCATTTTTAGCTACAAAATAAGAACAAAAATGAAACAAAAAAAATTGCCCCAGTTTTGCATTTATTTTTTTCTTGCCAATAATAAGTCTAAAAATCTAGCACACTTTATAAACCAATCAAATGCAGAATTAAAACCAATTCCAACTTTTTCTTTCAAGTTTTCCCACTCTTCAAGCAGTTGGCAAGTTTTCACTTCAGAAACCTTGTACAGGCTGATTGGGAAAAAAATTTCATCTAAATAACTTGAATTTGGGTCAAGGCAGGAAGAGGTAGTCTCAAAATCCATAAGATAACAGGAGCGTTATTCAAGAAGAAAGAAGGAAAGCATGGCTAGTTATGGTAATCAATAAGACTGGTGAAGTCTCAAGCAAAGATCCTGAACCACTGAATTGAAATTATGCATGTATCTCACAGCACTACATGTAGTTATTGTACTGCACATTGCAATGTGCAAGGCAACAAAATAATGTCATTATGACCTGAATATTGCTAGTGCATAACACTTTTTCATAACTTACTTAACATTCTGGCAAATCCAAAGTCACACAGCTTTATAACCCCATCTTTTGTTATGAGAATATTTTCTGGTTTAACATCTCTGTGAATACACTGCAAAGAAACATAATTCCATTATAATCTATTGTTAAAACCTTTCCAGCATTTTCAAGAAAACAATGTAAATAGTATAATGATTTGGTTCTTCTTGTCTGTATACTAAGTGGCTGATGCTGGTTACCATGTTTTTTTAACCCTTTAACTCCTAGAAGTGAGCAAAATAAAACTTCTCCCTGCAATATCTATACATTATTCAGCAAACAGGTAATAAGAATATTCAAATTTATCAGGTAGAAGCTGCTATCTTAATCTAACACCTAGTTCTCATAACTATAATTTACAAGGAAATGTGTAGCAGCTAGAGGGGAGAATTAACAATCAGATCTTGGAAGTTAAAGGATTAATTAACCTACATTGTGTGAATGACAAAAGCTGACAGCTTGAAGTGTCTGATAAGTGATCCTTTTGACAAGCTTTTCATCAACACTGAGAGAGAAGAAAAAATAAAGAAAAACAACTTTTAAAAAACTTAACTCATACTAGTTGTAACTATTATAAAATTTTTGATAGAAAGTAACTTTTACCCTTGCACCAATACATCCAAGTACATCAATGCAACTGTAAGGGGTCAAACGAGTAAAATCAAACAGCATTTATGACTACATGTAGGTACAATGTACATAATTATTAACAAACTCAGATGTTTAAACCATGGCCACAACTTCTGATTCTTAGAGACATCCATAAATTTTACTATCAGAAACTAAAAATTATAAAAACATATCATAACTATTGGTGGCTTGTGTAGGGTCATGAATATTAATGATAACCAAAATTAAACATTTGCTGCTGCAATGAAACACATTAAGGTGTAAAAGACATAATTTTATACAAGAAACTTTTAATATCATCCATGCATTTTGGTATTCACTGTTTTCAACATACATGAATGGACATTGAGCTGGTGCAATTAGTACAAATAGATTCCATACCCTCTTGGATGAGCTTCTAACTCATTTAGAACTGTGTGATCACAATATTCAAACACCATATGAATCTTGTGTTTTCTTCTGAAAACATCCCGCAGGTTTACTAGATTGTGGTGTTTAAGTGTCTGTAGAGCACAAAGAAAAAACCAAGGTTAGATCTGTTTATTAAAGGCAGAAGGAAATTGAAAGACTAGGAAGTAACATGAAAATATAATATTATTTGACCCTCTGCCCAATAGACAAATCCAGCTTTGAAAACAGCAATCTTAAAAGAATCTTCAGTTGCTGAAGAAAACTAAAAATAACTTGGCTGAGTTATTTAGGGTAGATGTTAGAGAATGCTCCACTAACACAGTTCACCTCTTATGACACTGAAAATCCCTGTTCTCCCACTAGCTGCCAGCTCTTGGGTTTGATTCTGAAAACCTATCCATTGAAAACTGTAATCTCATTCCAGCTGAAAAGTTTTAATTTAATGAATGCATGTAGCACCAAATGAAGGTTCATAATGGTACTGTTTATTATGTTGTAAAAGGTGGTTCAAAGTTTTAAGTCTGTGAGTGAAACTCAGGTTTGTGACAATTGTAAATTGCTGCTTATAAAACCAGGGCCTATAGAACTCCATAAAGGGTTTTAGAAGGGCTTATAAATGGAGGGGCCTATATCCAATGGGGGTTATCATGAGAACAGTAAAGTGGCTTCCAAATGAGCTATAGGGATGCCAATCAAATATGTTTCGCATTCACTGGTTTTCAATTATAGTAGGCCTCACAATGTTGTAAAAAGTTGAATTTATTTCAATACATTTGGAACAGAATCAAAATTAACACAAAAAAAACAACAACAACAAAAAAATGGAACAAAACAAAGTTTTGACTTTTCCCTTCAGTTAATAAAGCTCCAACTGATTCACAGCAGAGAACCTATCTCTCAGAATGAGAAAAGCTAGACAGGGACTTACAGGTGCTTGGGCTTATTGCTTGGGAGGGGGAGGGAGGCAAGGATTATAATCAGCAGTTTAAGGTATTAAAATGAAGGTGACTGAGCAACACTTTCATGAGGAACTGTTCATTACCCTGTGCTAGGTTGTACTAAGTAGCTCAGAGCTAAGAGGGTGAACCATCTTAGTGTTTGATGACAAGTGCAACTTTTCCTATTAGTTTCTTAATGTCTGGTCTTAAAAAAATTCACTCCCCAAGAATTAAAAGATAATGAAAGGAAAGTTCTAGATCCTTTTGTTAGAGTCTATCATCATGCAAATAATTGAAAATAAGTGACAGCTGTTTGTCCAAACAGCCATTCCTCTTATTCAAAGTTGACAGATAAATAAAATTATCTATAATTAATTGCTGCATCCATCTAAATTTCATTTTGGTCTTTGGTGGTGGCTGCTTCATTTTATGCCAAATTACAGAAAATTGAAAAACTGAGAGTAGGGTTACAATCCAACATTTCTGAAGCAATATACAAATACCATTGAGTGAGCTACCCCAAGGAAATACACCTGCAAACAACAACATTAACTATTTGGGCTTATTCAAAACCCTTTCAATTGACTTTCCTCTGTGGCTAAAATTTTATATGCTTGATTTGGGAGTGATTAGCATACAGTAGTTTGTTGACACATTTGTGAAAAATGATCCTCCAATGAAAGAAATAGTGTATGAAGGACTGATATTTGCCACAATTTGTAGAATCGTTTTAAAATTGTTAGCTGCTAAAATACACAAGTGTATGGTATACACAACTGTTACACATGTGGGTAATAATATTCAAATTCTTTGTCATCTGTTGTATCATCTGCTTCAGTATAACTTCATCGGACAAAAAAAAAAATTGTGTAATCCAAGAACCTAACAAGTTTGATTGCTAACATCAGTGCTTTTTCAGTGAATATTCTTGACTCAAACAATGGACTTTGCTGAAAAAGAGGGACCGCTTGTAGTCTAGGTTTTATAAAGTAGGAGCCACTGTGATCTAAATTGGGATTTCTTGTTATTTCCCTTTCCATATTCCCACAAAAAAATCACTCCTCTAAATGCTTAAATACAAAAAAAGAAAAACAAAAAGGAATTTTCTTAAATTTCCTCTTAACATTATCAGTGCCATGGATAAAAATTGTAAACACGATCTGGTAGAGATCAGTCTTAGTTATCTTCACTTTGTAACTGTTTGAGAATAAAATTCCAACTGGGGTGCATTTGTCTCTCAGTTGAGATTCAACAACCAATTGATGATCATGTAAAGTATTATTTTGGTGAAGGTACCCTGATAAAGGCCAGCTGCCACCTACCACTATGGTGGTAAATTCAGAACTGATCATGTACAGAATATGACTCTTATATCCTAAAACATTTGCACTCCTGAACATCGGATGTGTTGTTGCAGTATAATCTATATTTATGGACTTCTCCTAGTACATATACTGCCCCACTTTTTGTTCTTTTAATAGTCATCTCACAAAACAAACCATCACTAATTTCCATTAGACAAAAATTTTAATCCCCTAATGTTTCCTTGTTTTTTTTAAATAGTCCGCAGAACATTTCCCTTGCAAGAATAACCTCTTGTTTCCATACACAATTGATACGTGCTTAATCTCGTGGTTTGGTTCTAGGCTATAGTAAACGGATTATCAGATTGTCGTTATTTCTCTGGTCGTTACATGTATATTTTACCAATCCCTTGCAAATTTTGAGGCTTATTATTTGCAAAAATGGTCAAATTATCAGTTACAACCTCTCCTATATCAAACAGCCCGCAGGAACAAAAATCCTTGCGCAAGGAAACCGACTCCTATTAACCCTGGCGAAATCAACGAAGATAGGCCCGACTAGCATTAATTGGGATTTGCAGTCAGATTAACATTCCACCCTCGTTGAAGGACTTTAAAATTTATTGCAGGCTATTTACAGACCGAACTATGCATTAAATGCTATGAATTTCAAACTTTGATGAGAAATTTTTGAGAGTTCACGACCACATCGCGAAAGCAGGTAGTAATCTAAACTGACCTTCAACATGCGAACTTCCCTCATTGCAATCTTCTTTATCAGCGGATCGTCTTCCGATTCCACAAACTTCTTGATGGCAACAATTTCCCCTGTTTCTTTATTTCTGCATTTAAACACAACGCCATATGATCCCTCGCCGATCTTTCCCAATTTTTCAAATTTATCCATTTGCGAAGATGTCACTTACTACCAGGAGCTAACGATCTCTGTAGTTATAGCATCGATCGGTGAAGCGAAGTCACAAATGGCGATAAAAAAATTACGCACACACAGTTAGCCTTTTCCCTGAATTGAAATAAAAAACATAAAATGCTTTAGCAAATATCGGCAATATCCTTAATGGAGCCGTATCCATTGCGATCGCTGCAAATTCACGGATAAAAATCTCGCGCCGTTTAAATCCTTCGTAACTTACAACATGCAAACATGAAAAGATCTTTACCTTTTGTGGCTAAACCACTCATCGAACCAATGCAAAAATGCGCACCTTATCCAGTGTTCTACATAATCCAAGTACAAAGTTACGGAGCCGTAACTAGGAAGAAATACAACACAATATTGCTAATAGAGAATAGCCCAACTCCCTTCGGTTCTTTTCAACGAACGCTGTGACGCAAGCTGGATAAGTCACTACGGATCCTTACTGGGGAGTCGCCATGACAGCAGATCACGTGATCAGAATTTATAGGTCCGCAATAAATGAACACAATTTAAAAGATTTTTAAGAATCGTGGGAATTAGGAACTCTGTTGATGTTTATTTTCTTTATTTGAAGCGAAACACAGCCTGGATATTAAAAATTCGTTTCCGTTTTCGTTTTCATTACCTCGAAAGGAATAGAACTATTTATAGATAAAAAAGAATTGGTATCATTCAAACAGCACCAAAGAACACTTAATAGCCCAAGAATTTTGGTCTACATTTTGATATTTGTTATTAATATTTCTTAAATACAAGTTATTTTATTATCTGATAATGTCTTTTCGCGATGTAATCAGTTATTTCAGCATTCTAAGGGTAGAAAGGGTGCAGATCTAAAAATTTTAAGTTTGTGTTTAAATTCAACTAAAATTCGTGAAACTCCTGTTTTTGCTAATGTGAAAAAACGGTTTCTTACAACATATTATCGAGCATTCACAGTTGAAAAAAAATTATACATTTTGTTTCATTTAGAATTCAGAATGCCAAAAAAAATCAGTATAATTTCGAAGAGATTTTAGCGATTCATATACTGATTTTTGCTCTTACACTGTAAGTTTTATCCCAAACATTTATTAAAACGTACCTGAACAACAACTTTCTCTTAGTTCTATAAATTTTATTTCTTACTTAGAATATATATATATATATAATGATGATTTTGATACGGAAGTTCTTTTCATTTGTAGCTGGCACACTGCAATTTACAATTGGCCAGACCACTTGAAAACTTTCATTCTGTTTTTTTTTTTTCCTCTTCTGGCCGCTTCTCATGCAACACGCAACACAGTCTACTCAAAGGCGCTTACGTCAAATTATGTACAAGAAATAAAAGGTTTGCATCAGAACATTCAACGCAAGAAAATATCTTTTCTATTTTATTTAGTTCAAATGTCGTCATTTTCGACCTCGGATACAAACAAGCCTTTTGATAAAACAAAGGATTCGTTAAGTTGTATCTATCCATGGTCCTTAATGACGTTTTATTTTTTGATTCGAAAAATTAAATGTCAATCATGTTTAACCGAGGTAATCTTAAGACTTTTTGTATCAATTTTCTTAGAAATTTCTGGAGTTCGACCATCAGTGAACGTTGTACAAAAGCATCTTGTTTTTTTTCACCTATTGTACTAGCAAACTTTTTTTTAAATAACATTTTGTTATCGTGATGAGTGTTGGCTACAGTGCGTGTTGGCTAAATAAACGTGCAGTGTGATGGGTTGTGACTTTGACTTGCAAATGAAGAGAAATTTACTGACATTATGGCGTTCTTGTTAATGGAGAGAGAGAGAGAGATAGATGCAAGCTAACCCTTTCACCCAAAGAAGCTATTCGGTGTACGGATTACGCCGGGATAGAGAGAAAGCTCTTAATCTAAGGGCTGTTAACCCTTTCACTCCCAAGATCTCATTAGTAATTCTCCTTACTGTCTGCCGTATAATTCTTATAATGTTAGTTCTGAGAATTTGGTATTGAACCAACTAATAATCCCCCAGCTGATATTTTTCTCTATTCTCATCACTCGTTTGTTTGATATTGTATTGATTTGGTAAAGAGAAATTCTGTCTTGGTCACTCATGGAAGTGAAAGGGTTTTACTGCCCGAAATAAGCAAAGAACTGAATGCAGCTGTCCGTAATAATCACGTACAGAACCTTATTTTTTATTTATTACAGAGGTTTGTAATGAAATACGTTTGTGTGATCCTTAAGGAACACCACAACACACCACAAGATGGGAGATAAGGGACATTAGCGTTTTCTTCTTATCGTTTTGGTTTTCAAATAGTATTCATTTTTTGTTTTACTTTTATTTTGCACCTTGCTTTCTTTGATTGAAATGAAATATTGTAGGAGAGACATGTAAGATAACCTTCCAGGAAAGAGAAAAAATTTTCGATAATGGAAAATTTATCATTTTACCATATGTGCATTAGAGCAATAAAATTGCATTTTTATTAGAAAAAAGGCTTTTCCGAAGACGCGATGTCTACGAACACATAGAAACTGCCAAACGGTGTTGATTTTTTTTGTCTTCCGTCTATCACCTGCTCTTTACATCTTTGGACAACCCGTCGCCTTCTAATGAACCACAAGCTGGGAAAGTTTCATTTATCAAGCAAGTCGCTTTTATTTCGAGTCGTGGTTTGTTTTAGAAACAAGCCACCCCGATAGCAAATACACTATTCATAGAAAACACGATCCGGCTTCGATATTGCTCTAGAAATTTTGTGGGCGTCTAAAGGTAATAGAACCTTAGTCATCGACGCAAAATGGGTTACAACGCAAATATTTTTGTTACACCGGTGGATCAAAGCCTACTGTGCGGAATTTGCAAGGAAGTGTTGAAGAACCCACGCGCCATGTATTGTGGACATACGTATTGCGAAGAGTGTTTAGAAAACTGGTTTAAATCCGCGAAAAACGTAAAGAAAACTTGTCCTATATGTCGGCGCGATGTGATTTCTTCCAACACCGCACCAGTTTTAGCTCTCACCGCATTCATTGAGGGACTTTCCGTGAAGTGCGAAAATGCCGTGAACGGTTGTAAAATGGTGTTAAAACTTGGAGACTTGGAGAAGCATTTGGAAAAATGCGGATTTACTCTGGTAGAGTGTAGTGGTTGTGATGAAATATTTAGTCAAAGTGATTTTCACAATCATCGCAAAAAATGCGCGAAGTTGAATGATACCGGCTGCTTCGATGCCCGTGTGCATGCCGAGATCGTAGCGATTCAAAACGAGCTCTTCATGACAAAGAAGTCCCTTCGAACTTCCGAAGAAACCGTTCGAAGGTTGGAATCCAATTTGTTTGAATTACGGGTACAAAGGCGAATCCGAGCAGAGGCGACACGCGCCGAAGATTTCCGAGAATCCGTGTGGGATCCTGATTATTCATATGGATATTCACCTCGAAGCATTGTTCATCTTTCAACTTTCATTTCGTGTTTTTTGACTAACAAGCCACCTTACGTTGATAAAGAACGCATTTTTGTTTGTCTGAAACGCTGTTTTGATTTTTATCATAACTGCGCAGCGTTCTGGCAAGATGTCCACATGCTTTTGGCAACAGCATTGGCCAGTGGTTGGTTCGGGGATGAACAGAGAAAGAAACTTGACAATTGGTTGAAAACTTTGGCTCGTGAACGCCTCTTGAAGTGAGTTTCGCATCATCTTGGGAAGGAAAAGTCAGTAAGAGAGAGAGAAAGAGAAGAATAGAAAGAAAGAGTTAAAACACTCCATTTGGCCAAAAATTACATTTGAATAATCAAAAACGATATAATTACCTCTAAATGATACATCTAAATTATTAATATTATATTTGAGTAACTCGGGGCTGTCGTAAAGAAACCTATAAGCTCTCCTGAACACGTTTAATGACCTCGTTCACCATCGATTAGTCTAAACGTGTCAAATGAATAAATAAGTCTCAGACAAAACCGAGAAATATCCGAGTGAATTTTCCCACGTTAAATTCGTTAGTTCAGTAGGGATAAGAATTTTACCGCTGCAGAAGAATAGGTAACCTTGATTGCTGAACACTAAAAACACTGGAGTCTCTGAAGTAATAAAAAAACAAAAGAGTGAATAAATGAATGAACTAAATGAATGAGTTTTTTTTTCCTGGAAACGCCTCTGACTAAATAATAGTATGATTCGGTCACGAAAATCGCAACAAACGCAAAAAGTTTAATGATACCAACTGTTTCTGCACGTACCAGACCTCTCCCACTGGCGCTTCACCCGTCATTTCGAAACTTGTAGGCTTCTCCGCTCGAGCTGAAACGGTAACGAGACCCTAACAGGCTACCTCAGCATGGAAACTATTTATTTTTTGGTTTCTGGTGAACAGGAACAGTTTTTCTCTCATTGCTTATTACAAAACTTTGTGCGACCAAGATGTTAATTCCTTTTTAAATTGCAGTAAGAATTTGCTTATAATCATTCATTGCTTGCCATTGCAATCCACCAATGATTGAACCTCAAATGACGAATCGTATTGTCGAAATTCGTGCATGTACAGCTTGAATGAAGACCTTTGCCGCACACAACTCGACAAAGCATACATGATATCGGGTTCATTTTAAAATAGATGTGGCTTTCAAAAAGATTGATCAAGCTTTCGCTTTTTTTTTTGTGAGGCACAGGCCTTCCAACAATTGCGAGCAAAAATCTTACCGCACAACCGGAAGATATCACGCTTATTAGTTAATTTTCATGGAGGACAATTCAACTCAGTGTCGTAAAATCAAACACATCAAGCAACGTTAACCAATCGGAGGAAGGTAAAATTTCACGACAGTTAAACCAATGAGGATAAAAGTAAAGGCAAGCGTACTGCTCAAAGCGCGAGAAAACGCGTGTGACGATGAAAGTCGTGATTGCTTTTGGTTTTAAATCTGATTGGTATAGAGGATGGCAGGAGTTTTTTTTAACCAATCACAGAGCGTAGAAAAGTAATGAAAGTAATGATTGCTTTTGGTTTTAAATCTGATTGGTAGAGAGGATGGGAGGAGTTTTTTTTAACCAATCACAGAGCGTAGAAAAGTAATGAAGGTAATGATTGCTTTTGGTTTTAAATCTGATTGGTAGAGAGGATGGGAGGAGTTTTTTTTAACCAATCACAGAGCGTAGAAAAGTAATGAAAGTAATGATTGCTTTTGGTTTTAATGATTGGTAGAGAGGATGGGAGGAGTTTTTTTTAACCAATCACAGAGCGTAGAAAAGTAATGAAAGTAATGATTGCTTTTGGTTTTAAATCTGATTGGTAGAGAGGATGGGAGGAGTTTTTTTTAACCAATCACAGAGCGTAGAAAAGTAATGAAAGTAATGATTGCTTTTGGTTTTAAATCTGATTGGTATAGAGGATGGCGGGAGTTTTTTGAACCAATCACAGAGCGTAGAAAAGTAACACCAATGTAATCCTTGGTTACTATCAACACCCAATTGTAACCTTCTCTAAATAATACTCGATGGTTAGTCAGAGAAAAGCGCCAAATAACTTGGATGTACCCTTTCAATTGGTCTTAGTTTTCAATCTGATGAATTGCAAGTTGTTCTTGCCGTTTTTTTTTCTCTTTTTTTCTAAGCAATAAGAAGAGTTTTCTAATGCAAAACTAGTTTGCATCGGGGCTTTCTTTAAACTCTTAGTTGAAAGCTACCTTCATTGCTATGTACATCTTCCACTAATGCTTTGAAGAACACATAGAGAATTGACATATTTACAGAAGAACTGGACTACTTCCTTCCTCGTTTACCATAGTAACCCATGGTAGTTCAGAAATATCCCTTTCATCTTATTAAGAAAAGTAATCAACACCTTTTGCGTCAAATTCTAAATATTCGTCTCAAGAAGAGAAAAAAATGAATAACATCCTATATTGCAAATAAAGAAATATAGAAAGCTATCATATTTCTCGTGGTGCTTTAAATTCTGAGGTAAAAAAGGGGGAAAGGGAGTCCTTTTCGGTTTGTGATCATAGCTGTAGTGATTACAAAGATGACCGACCGCGAATGTGGCAGTCTAATTGTCATCACCCGTCTTAACAGAGAAAAGATTGGACGATGCCAAGCTGTTTGAGATAAATCAAAAATGTAAACTATCGCAAAATGCCCCTCAGTCGAACGAATTTATGAATAAAAACACGATGGTTGACTTTTTTCTAAGCAAAATGCACCCCAGTTGTGCGGTCAAATGACGGGTTCTCTCCTGTTACATATGAATGACGCCTAACCTGTCCTTTTCCGCTATAGTCACTGTTATTAGTTTTAATCAAGACAAGTGTAACACTGCCGAGAGCCAATCACGTCGGAGAAGCTAAAGGAGACTCGTTTTGTGAGATTGATCACCGAGCAACCATCTTTATATTCAAAGTTGTCGTCTGCCAAACAAAAATAAACGAAAGGTCAATTTTTTTTTCAATATACCAGTACTTCTAATTTTATAGCTTTACTCATGTCAATACCTTTCGCCTGATCAGTCGGTAAATTTGATCAGTTTTGAATTTAATTGAATTCCTATCCTGCAATAAAGTTTTTTTTTTTTCGATTTGGGCCTGTTTTATTCTTCATCTTTGCAGCTATTAATCATGCCCAATAGATCTTTTAATATTCGTTGCTTTCTTGTTTTCTTTAGCATATACAAGTAAGCAATGAAAAGATGTCTCCTACTGAACATTTTCATTACCTTTATCAAGACAATAATTTCAAATCATTTGAGATATTTTTATGAGTTAATATCCATAGAGACTGAAATATATTCGTTAAGAATTAATTACTCTTCTATTAAGATAAACGAGCTTGCAAGCCGATAAGGACCGTTCTTTCATTACTTATTATAGATGGTGAAAATGAAGCTTTGTTTTTCAAAGGGGTCTGTACTTTTGATATGGCTGGGATGCACTCTGTTTTTCTTTTCAGCGCAAATCAGTATTTTCCATGTAACGTTTTATATCGACATAGATGACTCTGGTGTTACAGTTTTGAACAATGGTGCAAACTCAACAGAGAAGCTTCTCCTCGAACGATCGTCTCTCACATCTAATGGTACAGGTGAGCGAGGAGTCGAATTGACTTGTTATGTTAGCAGGATATTTTAGATAGTTAAATATTTTAGGCTTTCTGTTTGATTTCATTCTAACTGTATCAAATCCATTCTGAAATTGAACTGGAAGTTTACATATTCGGGAAAAAAGAGATGCCAAGGAGCTAAATAACGGAACACATCCTGCTTCATGCCTTGCTAAGAGAATAATCAGATATCGACACAAACTTGCCGTCAAAATTAGATCCCTAACTGGTTCATCTTTCAGGTCATTTATAAATTGAAACATCATTGTCACCGCCTCAGTTGGAAATGTAAATAAGAAAAATTTTAAAAGATTTTTTAAAACTTCTGTCATCAAAATACAAAACTTTTCGTTGATAGAATAAAGGTCGAGAACTATATACATTTACTACTTTACGACCCTGTTTATCGCTGATTTTTTATATCAGCAAAATATTTCCCAGTTTTAATAATGAGCAGCCAATTTGACCACTTTAATTCCATCTGTCAGCTATCTTTGAAAAGACGACAAAAATAGCTATTTTTTGTTTGATGAGATTCTGATAAATGGAAGCCGGAGAATTCTGCCGTTTCATTGAAAGTAAATGCTGTGATACTGACGCATAAAAAAGACGAGTTTCCAGCAATGCATTTTCATTTGAACTCTCTTACCCAGTTAGTATTTGTTACTAATTGTTAGCTTTGGCATTTCTTCTTGGGTACCAACTACATCAGGCGTTCATTTGCAATCTAAATTATTCTAGCAATTGAAAGGAAATAAGCAAGCGTGCTTGGAATATGAATGAGCTGTAGTGCTGTGTTTGTCTGAAAATGCAAGTGATGTATTTATTTTATTTATAATTAACCACAACCACTATACATCAACATTTCTATATTATTGAATAATTATAACATCACTCGCATGTGATTGTTCCAAGTCAGCTCGCGGCTCCGATTTTTCAATCTTTGTAGCCCTGTGTTAAGCAAAACAACGTGCAAAACCATCTTCAGTTTGACTTGGAAAACGGAATCAAGAGGACAAAGAGCTAATGCCTGTAAAGGCTTTTTTTGATAATGAAAAGCTCACAGCAAAATTTCCTCACAGTCCCACACCTCAAATGCCTACAATTCTTAGATAACATATAAAATGACGAAAACGATTGAGTACCTTTGGGATTAGGCTTTGAAATCTTTCCCAACTCACTCATAACAATATATTTTTCCTTCTAAATTTTTTTTGATGGCAAGCTGTTTGTTGATGCAGTGCTTAGCTCGCTGCATAAGAAACCTTTTTGGCCGACATCTTTCTCGTAAAACATTCAGGAATTTAAACGTTTAGCTCCTTTAAGATAAATTAAATGTTCGCGCACAAACTTAAGCAAATTTTTCGCGCACCAAATCAATCTCGAGCCCAGAGCCATTTCGGCTCCTTGTCAGCGGTATGGTCGCCAAATAATAACAAGGAGACAACTGAACCTTTTCCATAAGAAAGATAATTATGAAGTTTTTGTTGATTGAATGAAATGAAACTATGAAATTCTTGCGGTAGTTGGCTCTTTATCTCGATACAAATAATGAAATTGAATCAGAAAAATTTCAAAATCAAAACAAATATTCATAATTCGAAGGCAACTGAGTTATTTTACTGAAACAATTATTGCCGATGGCTCATTGAATATTATACACTTAATGCATGGTCCCGAGGGAAACAGTTAGTTTTGTTTTCCCTCAAGTCCTGATGTTTCCCTTGGCGAAGTCGAGGGAAACTAGTCAGGGGCAAAATTAGTCAGGGGCACGTGACCAAGAATCAACCAACCACAGTGCTCGTTTTGTTGAGTGAAAGTCTAGGTATAGAACAATGTTGAATAATCCCCTTGACTTCGGCGAACAAATAAACTTATTTTAACCAGGCCAATATGAAATTTTGAATTCATAATAAAATGATTATGTTTTGAAAGATTGCTATAATTTTTGAATCCTATTTCTAGTGCTAAATAATCCCAGCGGTAAAGAGACTAAGTGTTACATACCAGA